TAGGGTTAGAATTTATAATAAAAGAGTATAGGTGGATTTTAGTAGGGTTTAGGTTTTCAAATTAAGACCCAAATTTAGCATCATCCGATTTCAGAATCATCCCGACAATAATTAATTAGCACGGACATATGGACATGCTCAAAAGCTGGTATGGATATTATATGAATAATTATAATACATAACGATTACCATGTATAATCTCTGGCTAATAAAACAAATGTTTAATGATCAATTTCTTCAATCTCAATGTCGACTCTCAATGTCGACTCACATAAAGTGCAATTTGTTAGGTCTTTGAAATTTCAATACAGGATTAGATGGAATCTTAAAAGAAATTGCATTGAAAAGAATAAAATCCGTATTGCTATGTATAGAAATAAATTACTTTAAAGTAAGGAACTTATAAGTTAATTAAAAGTCATGTACTTAAAGAAAGTTGTATGTACTAAAAATATATATATAAATATATATATTATCCACTAATATATATCGATTTTCCACCCCCTACTCTTTCCGCACGTCCCGTTTTATCCACATGATCAAGACCTAAGAGTTCATCTGTTAATCCATAATTTGATAGAACAACATCTATTGAACGTATGCAAGGTCAATTATCAGCAATTTAAAATTTTCAAGAATGAAAATCGAAAAATAAATATACATACTATTATCCTTTATATACTGAGGCTTGACAAATGATGACGTTTGTATAATTGCAAATTTTACTTTCGGGAAGTCTTTTTCGTTCATTCCTAAGCGTAATTGAAGGCGTAACTTTGTTGCAGAGAAGGGCTCATCCTAATTATATAAAACATCAATCTCATAACCAACAAAAATTCAAGTAAACACATGAAATATAACATTTAAGAATACTGACAGCTTTAATAACAAATTTGAATGGAATTCCATGCACATGTAATGGCTCCTTAGTAAAATGAAATGCTTGAATAATTTTATCATTAGCACCTAGTTCAATTTCATCTTGTGGTATTTCCTAAATTTGAAATAAGTTAATTTTTCAAAAATAGAAATAATCCAAAAATCACAAAAAAAAAATAAATGAGCAAACCTCTGCATATAACATAATGTGTTCCTGTATTTTATCTATTGGATCATTAATATTATACTCATTCTGAATTTTGCATTGTAAGACATCATATAATCTAATTGTATGAGTAGGTTTCCGCAATGCTAGTTTTTGTACAATTACTCTAAGAACATCATTTATTATAGCAGTCTTTGGGATACAAACATCAATTACTTCCTTTAAAGAGGAAAATCATAATAATAATCAATGAATTGAATTATAATTAAATAAATCAATAATTTTCTTTTACCTCTTTCTTAACAGTTGTCCCAAGCCAATATACTTTAAAGAACTTGTTAGTTTTTAATTCAATAATACTAATGTCAAGCAATTCATAATATAATAGGTTCGTTGAATTAGGCAGATATGTTGTTTGAAGCATCTCTGACAGTGTTTTCTTGGTCGTACATTTAATTACAGTTTTGTATGTACCAGATATTGGATCCGCCGTTGTAAACCGTAATTTCAACGGATCCATGTTTAAGAAAGCAGCAACGCGTTTAGCGATCTATATAAAGAAGACTTATTAACTAAATAAATTCATATGGGCATTTATGGTGAATATGATATTTTTGGGAATTTCTATTTGAAATTTCGAATTTGAGTCAAAATCCCGACAAAAAAAATACCAACAAAAATTGACATAAACTACATATATCTAAAGATGACATAATACGGTTAACTTGTCAAGATTTTGATCAACTTCCGAAGCTTCAATACAATATCACCTCAACGTACATCATCATATTTGTATTTCTTATTTAAAATTAATTCAAATTTAGGTTTTGATTCATGATATTTTGGCTTAAATTGAATAATAATATGCATAGATAATGACTCATAGAATGTAGGAATATCATAAATACGGCCTGCAGCAATGTGTTCTTGTTTCCTAAGTTGAGGCAGAGAAGTTCTCTTATAAAAGATTCATTAAAAATGAGATAAGATCAGGTTACTAAATAACTTACTCTTTTTCTGTTAAAACTTTTTGGAAACAAATTATATCACCATCTTGTATCTTAGCTTTTTTAAAAGTCCATCTAGGTTTCAACTTATCAATCATGGTTGGTTTTACTTCCTATATTTAAATAAAATAAATAGGTCATTACTATCAACAAAACGATTATGTATGTATATAAAGTATATCTTACTTCATATATATTCAAGGGTGTGCGTGGTGGAAAATTTTTTTTCTTGCAAAGAATT